GTTCCAAGAACAGCCTAAGAGAGCTGGAGGGTAAAATCGTTGATTTCCAACGGTTTTGTTCCAATGTTTTTCGCCTTCTCACATTTTCCCGCTTCCAACCCTCAAAGATCGAGGATTCTGGAAAAAAAGGAATGCCATCAATTCTTTTTTTAATGGAACTCCTACTCGGGGGTCCTACACATCCCCTGACATCTGGCCAGTGCCGCGCCTCCCGGCCTCTTGCGGAGACCCCAAGACGCCGAAGGACAGCCCATGACGACCCCAAGAAGCTCCCAGAACGGAAAGAACGGCCCAAACCGCTCCCAAGCAGTCCAAAACACCTTGTTGACGGCTCTCCACGCTCCCAGGAGGCCTCCAAGAAAAAAGCTCCAAGAGATGTCCGACAGGCGTCCCGGGAAAGCCCGAATAGGCTAACATCGTAGTTCAGCATTATGATTAATATTAGTATTATTATTGTTATTTTTATTTTCATGACTCGTATTATTATTATTATGATGATTATTATTATTACTAAAAATATTTTCATTATTACTAATAATAATAATAATATTACTATTATTATTATTATGGTTTTTATTATTATTATTACTATGATTATTATTATTATTCACGTTTTTGGCCTTCTCGCGTTTTCGAGCTTCCAACGGTCCAAGACCGCTCCAAGACCGCCCAAAAGACTCCCACCCAGGACGGGTCCAAGACGGGCCAAGGACCCCCCAAGATTGCCGAAGAGGCGCCTGGTACCGCGCCTCCCGGCTTCCCGGGGGGCCACCAAGACGCCCAAGGGCAGCCCAAGACGACCCCAAGGAGCCCCCAGAACGTAATGAACGGCCCACCACGCTCCCGCGCAGACCGAGACACCTTTCCGACGGCTCTCCAGGCCTCCAGGAAGCCTCCAGAACCCCCAGGGGGTCCGGGAGATCCCACACCCCTGAGGGGCCCGGCTAACAAAAACCGCGAGGCACAAACAGAAAACAGCGCCGAACAGCGCCGAGGAACTGGACAACACAATGAAATCCCACAATTTCTTTTTTCCAAGTTTGGCCCCCGGTGTACTCTTGCACAACAGACCAAATTTCAGACCTTACTCACCTCCCAATAAAGAACCCAGGAAGCCTTTGAGGGCCCCAAATCGTTGAACACCTAGAGGAAATTAATGATTTCTGCGTTTCCGCATTTCGCCTTCTGTGCGATTCCGAGGCGTGCGCAGGGCCTCCAAGGGAGTCTCTGGATGCAGGAAGCGACCAAAATGATATTACATGAGGTAGCCTATCAAGCCTAGCTAGAACTTGAGCGCGCGAAGCGCACGCGATGGTTCTAGTATGTATTCATGTATGTCTGTATATATATATCATATATCCAAATACTTGCGCCGCGCATATTGTACAACATCTGTTGCAACACGTACACTGCTAGAGAGCACTTGTCTATACGAACATACCTGTATGTGCATGTATATATATATATACATGTATATACATATGGATGCATAAACATATATAGTGTATATCATGCGTGTTTGCCTGTATGTCTGTCGATGTGCCTGTCTGTTTGCCGTGTCCTTCTGTATTGGTGCATGCATGTGTGTATGGACGTCTGTATATGTTTATGTATGTATATACAGATGGAACAGTACATATGATTGTATATGCACATGTACATGTAACTGCATGTATAAGTGTATTTGCGTGTGTGTATATGTATGTGTATGTGTATTTGTATATGTTTATGTAATGTATAGGTAAATGTACAGGCAAAGGTTCGTGTACATGTATTTCTGTATTATACGTATATGTTCATGTAAATGTGTATGTGTACGTATGAGTACATGTATATGTATATGTATAGGTACTTGCATATGTCTATGTATATATACATGTATATGTAAACATGTATATATGTATATGTGTCTGCATATATATATATATATATATATATGTGTATATGTACATATATATGTATAAGAATACGTATAATTATATATGTATATTCGTTTACGTGCAAGAAATTACAGTTGCATGCGGACACATGATCTTGGATCGAGGGTTCACAGCCCCTTCCCACTCCCCCAGATGGGATGGGCCCCAGGATTCCATAGACCCCCCCAGATGAGATGGGGGGCACGATGCCGACGACGATGACGATGCCGACGACGACGACGCCGACGCAGACGCACACGCCGACGCCGACAACGATGCCGACGCCGTTACCGACGCCGACGCCGGCCTTGGCGCCGACGCCGACGCCGTCGCCGACGCCGACGCCGACGCCGACGCCGACGCCGCCGACGACGACGCCGACGCCGACGCCGTGACCGACGCCGACGCCAGCCTCGACGCCGACGCCGACGCCGACGCCCACGCCGACGCCGCCGACGCCGACGCTGACGGAAGACGCCGACACCGACGCCGACGCCGACGCTGACGCCGACACCCATGCTGACGCCGACGACGACGACGACGCCGACGACGACGGAAGACGACGACGACGACGACGACGACGACGACGACGACGACGACGACGACGACGACGACGACGACGACGATGGACGACGATGACGAACCACCTCACATCCACAGGAGGGAGAAGCAAGCACTCCAAATCCTCTGGTTCGAGGCCAGTCTGCGGAGTGCCGCTCCGCAAAAGTGGCCCCGACAAAACCTTGGAGTCCCTGGATCCGAGCTCTTCAACAAACTGCAGGATTGAGCACTGAGGGATTGAGCACGGCACCTGAGGATACGCCCACCCCGTGCCCAAGGGCACAGTGCCAGATACATGATCCCTGGTCGAGGGTTCACAGCCCCGCCCACTCCCCCAGATGGGATGAGCCCCAGGATTCCACGGCCCCCCCCAGACGGGATGGGCGACGACGACGATGACGATGCCGACGACGCCGACGCCACGCCGACGCCGACGCCGACGGAAGACGACGCCGACGCCGACGCCGACGACGACGGACGACGACGACGACGCCGACGACGACGACGACGAGGAACTACCCCACACCCACACCGGAAGGGCGGGAGCACCGGCGCCCTCCACCAAGCCACGCCCACAGGGCCTCGACAACAGGGAGGTGAAGGGGAGCAATCCCATTCGCGAGGCATTCGCGAGGCCTTCTGGCGTACCTATCCAGTGGGGGGGCTCGATCCCATACGAATTGGTTGGGGGCAGCCCTGGATAATATTTTGCATGCTCTTCTCGCGTTGCCTCACACAGGTTGCGACCACTTTCGCCTGGACCATAGATCTTTCACCACGTAGACGCGCGAATGTCGAAGTCCTTTCCGAACCATTGATTTTCACAAGCACTTCGATGCAGAACTCTTCAACAACATGTGAAAATCACATGTCTGTCAACCGAAAGTTTACCAGGGTTCTTGCGTTTCCGCGCGCGTGCACTTCTTCACCCTCATCAGCGCCATCGCCAATCGCCGCCGCTGCCGCCATCATCAGTCAATCACCGTCGTCACCGACACATGGACACCATCGTCGTCATCGTCGTCACCAGCATCGGCGCCGTCATTGGCCTGGCTGTCGTTATGTTCGCAGTCACCACCACCATCGCTGCTATCATCATCATCATCATCATCATCATCATCATCATCATCATCATCATCATCATCATCATCATCATCATCATCATCATCATCATCATCATCATCATCGTTGCCGCCGTTATCGGCGTCATCATGATAGCGCCCTCCCGAGTCACCCACCCGCACTGAAGTGCCCGCGCGCCAGGGCGGCATTTGAGACGCGCTGGGAAGTTCCCATCGGTAAGCGCCATCGCGGCCGTGTGGGTTCCGCCAAGTCAGCTGGCCGCTCCGTGCGAGCTTGCGCGCGCTAGTGCAGCCGCAGAGATGCGCAAGCCATTGCCGAGTAGTCACCGTAATCGCGGCCGCATGGCTTGTGCAAAAGAAATTGCGGGAGGGAGGGTGAGATGATTGTGCGAGCAGTGGGGTTGACGGCTTCAAATGTGCACCTCATGGGTCGCACCAGAGTCTTTGCGCACCATCGGTTTTCCCCATTGCGTCATATTGCGAAGGCCTTACGGCCGGTGCCGCCGACCCTGAATGGCGACGACGACGACGACGACGAGCGCTCCTGGGGGCCTCTTGGGGGTAGTTTGTGGGTCTTTGGGAAGCTCTGAGGGGCCGCTTGGAAGCCTCGTTGGGGCCTCTTGGGGCTTCCTGGGGGTCTCTTGGAGGGGGCCTGGGACGTCTTGGAGGCTTCTTGGACGGTCTTGGGGCTATCTTGGGCGTTTTCGGCCGATCTTTGGGCGACTCGGGGCCCTCTTGGGCCGTCTCGGGGGCCATCTTGGGCATTCGGACCTCATTTGGAGTGTTTTCGAGGTTTCTAGGCCGCCCGAGGAAAAACGAATCTCCCCGGGACCCCCCCGGGACCCCCCCGGGACCCCCCCCGGGACCCCCCCCCCCCCCCCTGGGGAAGGGATCAAAGGGAAGGGGCTTCCCTTCGACTCGATTACGACACTGCTAGATTTTTCTCTCGCTCACGAGCTTGAGAAGGAAGCTGCAGGGAAAGGGGACGACGGAGGCGACGACCGACGGAGACGACGACTCGAACAGCCAAGCCCCTCGCACACGCCGACAGGGTCGGCGGATTTACAACAGCACCACAGAATACGTCTCATCTCTGGCACCACATACAGTGCACAGCGGCGGTGACCCAACCCCTTCTCTTGGGCCCACACTGGCAAACACATAATCAGCAAAATGCGCAAGACATCTTCCTGGGTACGGCGGCGGGGCGACGGGGACCACGGCGACGACTACGACGTCGACGTCGGCGACGGCACCGCGACGGCGACGGCTGCGACGGCAACGATGGCGGCGGCGGCGACAACGACGGCAACGACGGCACCGATGACGGCGGCGGCGACGATGGTGACGATGGCGGCGGCAGCGGCGGCGACCGACGACGGTGGCAGCGACGACGACGGCCTCGCCGTGGCCGTGATCGCCTTCATCGATCCCGCAGGTGCGCGCCCCCGACCCGGCCCTGGGCGAGGCGGAGCTGCCCGCGACGGGCCCGCTGGCCACCATGTCGAGGCGGCTGCGCGACACGAGCAGGCCCTGGGGCAGGACTGGCGACGACGGCCTCTCGAGGATCGAGGTTCGAGGACGAAAAGCCTGTACCAGGTCGTCGGAGATCTTGGTGCGCGTCAGCGTTTGGGCGAGAAGTGTAATGCGCGAGGACACAAAGGCGGCTTTCAGTACTTGCAGTGACTACTTGATTTCGGTCAAGCCGTCTGTCTCGTCTGGACTGCCACCTCCACCTGCCCGTCTCATCTCCCCTCCTTATCCCTCCTCCTTCTCCTCCTCCTCCTTTTCCCCCTCCTCCTTTCCCCCTCCGCAGTCCTCACTTTCTTTCTTTTTTCCGCTTGCTACTTCCTGCCGTTTCTGACCTTCTCGTCTTCCTCGCCCCTCGTCGTCGTCCTCCTCCTTGCCCTCCTCATCATCCATCTCCTTCGCCCCCAGAAACATGAGGGGATGACCACGAGCAGCCCGAGGAAGATGATTATATTGAGTGGGATAAGGAGAAGAGTCAGGATGAGGAGGAGGAGGAGGATGAGGAGGAGGAGTAGGAGTAGGGGGAGGAAATTACGGCAATCAACATGATAAGGAAGATAGTAGTCATGGAGGAGGCGGAGCAGGAGACAGAGGAGGAGCACGAGGAGGATGAGGAGCAGGACGATTGATGACGATGGCGGCGAGGATGGGAAGGAGGGGGATATGTAGTACGTAATGGAGGGGCGAGGGTAAAGCGGAGCCATGATGAGGGGGCGGAGAAGGATTAGCATGAACAGGTGAAGGAGTGACGAGGAGGAGGGGAACGGCTGAGACTTTAGAGCGAAGAAGGTGAAAGATATGACTTCAGGGCAGGCACCAGGCAGGAGGGGAGACAATGTGGATATGGAGGGGAAGGGAGGGTCATGATGAGGATGAAGATGAAACGGTGGTGGTCATGATGGTGATACTGATGTCCATGATGATGCTGATGATGAGAATGCTGGTGATAATGGTGATGATGAGGATGCGGGCTATGGTGATTATTGTTACGATGATGTTGATGACGACGGCGATGGTGATTATGATAATGACGACTGCGAGAATGATGATGCTGTTGTTGTTGTTGTTGTTGTTGTTGTTGTTGTTGTTGTTGTTGTTGAATTCTCATTTCCGAAGAATAATTATTGTTGATCCCCCCCGCCAGTGCATACTGTTTTTTCTAAATCAAAGTGTGCCCCTCGACGCTCGCACCCTGTTTTTTTGACAGGGAAAGTCTTCCTGCTCAAACTGGGCCCCTGGCCCCCGGGTTACAACAACAACGGCTCCCGCCGGAGACTTCCTTACAATTTAGCCAGGACCCCCGCTCCCGCCCGAGACTTCCTCGCATGTTATTCAGGAATCGCGCTCTCGCTTGGGACTTCCTTGCAATTTATTCAGGACTCGCTCTCCCCGCGCTCTGGAGTCGCGCTCTCGCTGGAGACTTGCTTGCAACTTACTGAAGAATGGCCTTGCGTTGGAATTTCTTGCAATTTGCCCAAGCGCCGCGCTCCCGACACCCAGGCACCCAGGAGTCGCGCCCGTTGTGGCCCCATGTGCATGCCCCTCGTGGCCCCGCTGTCGCCATTTGTGTCCCCCTCACTGTCCTACGTGGCCCAGTTGCTACCCTCAGTGGCCCCATAGTTGCCTTCTGTGGCCCCGCATTATCTGCACTTCGTGGCCCCCGCTCGTTCGCGCTCTTCGTGGCCCCATACGCATTCCCTTCGTGTCCCCGCTGTCGCCCTTCGTGGCCTACTTCGTGCCCTTCGTGGCCCTGCTGTCGTTCTCTCTCGCTCTCGCTTTCGCTCGTCGTCGCCGTCGTCGTCGTCGTCGCCGTCGTCTTCGACGTCGTCGTCGTCGTCGTCGTCGTCGTCGTCGTCGTCGTGGTTGGTCCCCTGTCCGTCCCTCTTGGGGTCGGGTCGACGGTCCGCGGCCGCCCCGCCGATCAGCGCTGCCGCTGGCCAGGCCGACGGTCCGCGGCCGCCCCGCCGCTTGCCGGGGCCTGGCCTGCAGGGAAGAAAGGTATACCCCCCAAGAGGGGTTCGATCGAAGACGAAGAGGGCGGGTATCGAGGGTTTGGGAAATACGTGTTATTGGACGCTCGAGCATATAAGGGCGAACAGTGTTAAACTTATTGTTGTTGTTGTTGTTGTTGTTGTTGTTGTTGTGGTTGAACATTATTAATTCTAAAGAATAATTATTGTTGGGGCCCCTGGTGCACGGCCCCCCTGCGCCGCCTAGGCCGCAGCTACATTTTCATCATTTTCGTGAGGAAGCCTCAGGTAATACGATGTGATCAAGATCCGGTTGTTTTGTTGTAATCCGTTTTCCCTTGCAAAAAACACTATAAAATGACATTTCTTGTTCTAATATAATCAAATTTCAAGAATCCCTTGCAAAAAATAAGGTAAAGTGGACATTCGCGCGCGCAAGACGAAATCCTTCCAAAAGCTTAGTGTTCGAGCGATTTTAACATAAAAACATCAAAAAACCAATGGTTTTTCAACAAAAAAATGTCAAAATCTCATCCCGCGCGCTCTTGCGGATTCGTAGGAAACCCAACACTTTTTAAACATTTCTGTCAAACGGGCTTTTGCGAGCAACTTTTTCGAACTTCTGCAACAACGGTTGCGCACCTGCCAGGGCCATCATCCCTGTCAAATAATACCATGCGGGACACATTCGTTTTTTCTTCGCGCGCGCACGCCGTCGTCGTCGGCCGCGGGGCCCTGAATAGTAGCCACGGTCGTCCGCATGCCACGAAGTGAAGTGTCCGAACGTCATAGGGCGGGAAGCTGGGTGTGGGTGGTGGCGAAGAGTCGTTTGGAAATTTGGTAGAGCTTGAACCGGCCCCCCCACAAAGTGGGGGTATTGCCCGCCTCCTATGAAAACCCTGGCACTGGTGAGAACGGTGTGTCCCCACGTGCTAGTAATTGTGGTTGTTGTTGTTGTTGTTGTTTTTTTGATGATGATGATGATCACGAGACTGCGGACGATGATGACGATGATGATGATGCCGATGGTGGGCAGGCTAATGATAAAGATGATGCTTTACGAACGTGCATATTATGATCCGGATGCGAATGGCAACGACGATGATGCTGATGCTGATGATGTTGCTGATGATGCTGCTGATGATGATGATACTGATGATGCTGATGCTGATGATGACGATGCGGATGATGATAGGTATGGTGATGACTGTATGGTGATGGTGGTAACGATGACGATGACGATGCTGATTATGATGACCACGCCGTTTATGCCGACGATTCGTGTATCGATGTTGGTGATGATGATGGTGATGATGATGCTGATGGTCGTGATGCTGATGATTGTCTGGCGATGATGATGCTGCTGCTGGTACCTGTAATGATGACGATGATGATGAGATGGTGATGATTGGTACCTGCAATGGTTACGCTGATACTGATGATGATGGCAATGGTGACGATTCTGATGAGGATGATGCTGATGATGATGGTGACGATACCGATGCCGATTATGATGACGATGTCGTTTATGCCAGCGATGGGTATACTGATGGTGTTGTTGTTGGTGATGGCGTTGATGCTGATGCTGGTGATGATGATGCTGATCATGCTGTTGACGATTATGATGAAATTGATGATGATGAAGATGATGCTGATGATGGTGATGATGATGGTAATGCTGATGCTGATGAAGACGATGCTGAAGCTGATTATGATGCTGATGATGACGATGATGCTTCTGATCATGACGATGATGAAGCTGATGATCATTCTGATGATGCTGATGTTGATGATGATGCTGATGATGGCGATGATGATGCTGATGCTGATGATATCGATGATATGCCGATGGTGGTGATGCTGATTCTGACGATGATGATGCTGATGGTGCTGACGATGATGATGATGATGATGACGGCGATGATGATGCTGATGCTGATGATGATGATGGTGATGATGATGATGGTGATGATGATGATGATGATGATGATGATGATGATGATGATGATGATGCGGGTGGACTGTGAGGACGATTCGTATGATGAGGGGGAGGGGTAATCCAGGGTGAATGGTCAGGGCGAGGATGGTAACGTGGATGGCGATGGTGATGGTGATGGTGATGATGCTGCTGACAGTGCTGCTTCGACGATTCTGAAGCGTGGCGATCATGGCAGCTCCTGGCTGCGACGATGGCGCTACGGTCGATCTGATGATGATGATGATGATGATGATGATGATGATGATGATGATGATGCTGGTGACGATGACGATGATGATGATGCTGATGCTTATGCTGATTCTGGCGGTGCTGCTGATGACGATGATGATGACGATGGTGGTGGTGATGCTGCTGCTGATTATGCTGCTGCTGATCATGATGATGATGCTGCTGGTGCTGCTGCTGGTGATGATGCTGATGATGATAATGATGGCGATGATGCTGATGCTGCTGATGCTGTTGCTGTTGCTGATGATGATGACGATGATGATGACGCTCATGTTAAAGCTGAAGCTGATGCTGCTGCTGTTGATGCTGATGAGGATGATGATGACGATGATGATGATGATGATGATGATGATGATGATGATGATGATGATGCTGATGCTGATGCTGATGCTGATGCTGATGATGATGATGATGATGATGATGATGATGATGATGATGGTGATGATGCTGCTGGTGATGATGATGGTGATGCCATCCCTGTCGCACCCTGGCAACAAGCAATCAGTGCATCGTGGGTGAGAGGATGTTTGCGGGGCAGATAACAGCAGCGAGCCATCTCGAAATGAGCCTCCAGAGGGGATGGTGCGGTAAATACGATAGCAGGCTCATTCGCCTCCTCCGCCTCCCTGAGTCATTCGCCTGCGAGTTAAGCGATTTCGAGGGGGCTGGCTGGGATGACTTTAGGAGACACCTCGGCTCAAGCCAACTCCCGTGGACGATTGCAGCGGAGCGACCTCGTCCAGGGCGCGGAGGAGCACACCATGCAGGACCCCGGCATGCCCATCTGGCGCAAGAGAGGGTCGGACCAGACGGCTCCCCTCCCAGATCGGGGGCACCCAAGGAGAAGAACCACAGCAATCAGAAGAAGCAGGGGCACGGCAATGGCGCGAGCAAGGGTAGCGGCGGCGTGGCCGCACCCGAGGCGTTCGTGTACGACCACTTTGCAGTCAGCGAGGGCGAGTGCCTGCTGGGAGCGTGGGTGGTGATCACGGGCCATGAGAACGACGCGGAGAGTAAGGAACGCAAGACGAAGCAGAACAACGTGGCGACGGTGGACCTCAACCCTAGAGGTAGCCCGTACATCAGGTGCTTCACGAAGGCGGTGTACTTGACGATCATGCAGAGCAAGCAGCCCAGCGGGCAAGAGACCAACGGAGGCGGTATGCAAGCTGATGGTGACGTACTGGAAGGAGTTGGTCATGACGCGGGCGCCGAAGCAACTCGAGGGGGATGAAAGCAGTTCCGCGACCGCAGGAGCAGGGCGACGAAGGAGAAGAATAGCAAGTACGGAGTGGCGGCGACGACTTTCAGCAAACAGGGAGCTGGGGCCAGGGTCGGAGCTGCCTTCTGGGAGTACCTGAAGGAGTGGGAGACGGAGAGTGAGCTCGTGGGCCCAGCCCCCAGAGGGGGCGCTGTACAGGGAGACGTCCAGGTACCTTGCGGCGGTCGGAGGCGGCAAGGGATCGTGAGAGTTGTCCAGGTGCCCGTCGGAGGAAGGAGGTGGTGAAAAGGGCGGCCTGCGGCAGAGTGCTAGGCTTCGTGAACTGATAGGCCGGGGCGCCCTCCCTGCTACTGTGCTCGAGGAAAGCAGATTCTTTCAGACCTCCCTCTCCCCCCTCCTCCTACTTAGGGCAAATTCAAACAATAAGGGGAAGGGAGGGGGCCGTCGTGGTCTTTTGGGCAGTAGTGGTCGTGGTCGTGGGAAGTTCGGGAGCCTGGCAGAAGACCTAGGTGCCAGCCATGGGTAGTGGGCTCCAGAAGCTTCTCTGCACGGCTGGCCTGGGGCCTGTACGTTGGATGCCCACGGGGCCCAGTGTCCAGGTCTTGGGCTCGGGTGGCTCCCTCAGCCCCGAGTCGTCGGCCGTCTTCCGGAGCGGGGCATCCACCTGGCTGCGCGCCATGGGGGTGGGCCTCTCAGCATGGAGGCAGCGCGGCGCGGGCTTTGACCCGAGGAACCATGGTTCCGAAACACTGCATTTTTCCATTCGTTTTTGCAATACTGCGAACCTCTGGTCATTTTGCTTCTGTTCAGAGGCCGCCTCCAATAGATCTATTCTGATTACTCGATGATGGTGATGATGATGGTGATGATGATGATGATGCTGGTGATGATGATGATGATGAGGATGATTACGATGATGGTGATGCTGGCGACGGTGATGACGATGGTGATGCTGATGATGCTGACGGTGATGACGGTAGACCGCCCAGCACAGCCAGGCCACGTCTGTTTTCCGTATCCGCAGGACTCTCCGGGGCTTCGTGCCCAACGAGGCGAACGTGAATGACTACCGGCGCTGTGAGGGGCACATGTTGCACCTCCATTGGGACGACAGGGGCCTCTACGACAGGTAGCCGTTGGCCTAGTCTTTCTCATCCTCGTCCTTTTGCTCCTCTTCGTCGTCGTCGTCGTCCTCCTCCTCCTCCTCCTCCTCCTCCTCCTCCTCCTCCTCCTCCTCCTCCTCTTTGTCCTCCTCTGCCTCTTATTCCCGCCCCCTTCCTCCCCACTTTCCGCTCCCATCCCCCCTCTCCTTGGATTGTCTCTCTTTCCACCTCGCTCTTCTGCTCCTCCTGAGTCGCCCCGTCCACCTCTCCCCACTATTCATATTCTTTTGTCCCTTCCGCCGTCCTTGTCCTCAAGCCTCCGTCCCCGTCTCCTTACTTCTACTTTTTGATTAGACGCGAAGCTTACGCCATTCCGCCGGCCCCCAAGAACAGATTTGACATACTGGTTGGAAAAATAACAGGAAAGAATAAGGATGTAGAGGGGGAGGGAGGCGAGGAGCAGGATGGGGCCTCTTGGGACACCTGGAGGGTTGTTTGTGTCTGGGGGGCCTCTTGGGCGTCACTTGAGGGCCTCTGGAAGGGCTCTTGGGGCCTCTGGGGGCCTCTTTGGGACGCCTCGGGGGCTTCGGGGGAGGGGGCCTCGTGGGGCCATCTTGGGGCGAAGGCTCGGATATCAATTCGAATTCCCAGTGTTGGGCCCCTCTTGGGGTCTCTTCGGTGCCTCTTGGGCGATGGTGGGCGGCTCTTGGCCCGTCTTAGGGCCCTCTTGCCCCCTCTTGGTGTGGGCTCGCTTAGTGGCCTCATGGGCCGTCTTGGGACAATCTTCGGGACCTTTTGAGCCGTTTTGCACGGTGCCAAGACGAAGAAGGCGAGTAGCCCAAGTATGTACGTCTTCCAATGTGAACTTGGCGATGTTTGCTTATTGGGGAGCAAGGCGGTTGTTTGGGAAAACATATGGGCCTTCTTTGAAGCCTCGTGGGCCGTCTCGAGGCCATCTTTGACCGTCGTGGGGCCACCTATGGCCGACTCGGTACTCTCTGGGACTGTCTTGGCTCTCAGTTTGGGCTCACTTGGGCGGTCGTAGGGGTTGTCGGAGGCTCTTGAGGCCCCAGGGGTGCGTTGGTGAGGTCGTCCTCCTCCACCCAGCCCCCTTTCCGCCCTCCCCCCTCCCCTTCCCTCCCTTCAGCGAGACTTGGGACCCTGTGGGAGGGGGAAGGGGGAGGGGTACAGGCAATTGTCCCACACGCATTTTCACCCCTGGCAGTCCGGGGTCGGCGGATACCTCCTCCTCTTCCTCTTCGTTGGCCTCCACCTTATCCTGCTCCTCCTCCATCCTTCATCCCCCCTGCTCCATCCTCCTCCATCCTCCTCCATCCTACTCCGCCTCTTCGTCCTCCCCCTCCACCTGCTCATCTGTGCCCTTTGCCGCAGCATCGGGTCGCGGGGATCTCATTACTCCTCCTCCCTCCTTCTCCTCTAACCCCTTCTCCTCCTCCTCCTCCTCCCCGTGCCCCCCATTCCTCCCAATCCCTTCTGCTACCATCTCCCCCTCGGATTCCTCCCCCTCCGCTGCCTCCGCAACTGCGCAACATGAAAACCACTTTCGTGTCTCCCTTGACTCTGTCTGGGAGATGTTCCGCCCTCTCCGAGTATTGTTTCCCAGGGATTGGACAAAGGTGTCGTTCTTCTTGTATGTTCCAATCCGGTTGGTGTCGGTATTTCAAAACTGTGCTCCCGCTGCAGCGTGAGCCTCGTTTTCGGATCGGCGGTTTGCTCCCGTCGTTCAGAGTGGCGCTCTCGCCCCATCGCGGACAACTTTTCTGCACCCGAGTCCTCATCGCCGTCGCCCTCAGTAGTTCCCCTCCTCCGCCTTCCCTTGTTCCTCCTGCTCCCCTCGCTCCTTCCACTCCAGTTCCTGCTGCCGCTGCTAGGCTTCGTCCTCCTCCTTCCTCATCCTTCTCCTTTTCCTTCTGCTCCTCCTCCTCCTCCTTCTCCTCCTCCTCCTCCTCCTTCTCCTCCTCCTCGTATGTACGCAGCTCCCCTACGCCGACTGCGCACAGCCCGATGGGATCGTTTTTGAAGTTCCAGGTCGGCTATGGCACGCGTCCGCAGATATAGAACAAACCAGCGCAATGGGGATGGATGGAAGGGAGGGACAGGGTGTCAGATGTGTGGCGCGAGCACACCTAGCTTCTCCTTCCCCTCTTCCTATTCCTCGACCCCTGCCCTCGCACTCCATCCCTGTCCCTCCTTGCCATCGCTGTCGCCCGCGTTCTCGCCGTCGCTCTCCCCTGCCCTCCTCCCGCGCCTCCCTATCCCTCTCTCTGTCTGGGTCGACGGGCAGCGAGGAAGCGGATGATGATGAGGATGAGGGTGAGGAGTAGAAGGAGGATGAAGGCCAGGATTATGAGGAGGACGGATATTGATATTAATTCGTTTGAAGATGGTGGTGATGATGACGATGATGCTGATGTTGATGACGACGATGATGGGGATGCTGACGATGGTGATGATGATGCTGCTGCTGCTGATGATGATGCTGGTACTGTCGATGACGATGACGATGATGCTAATGATCATGATGCCCGTCGGTGATGCTGATGATGCTGCTGCTGACTGATGATGATGATGCTGATGATGATGATGATGATGGTGGTGGTGGTGGTGATGATGGTGATGATGCTGGTGATGATGATGATGATGATGATGATGCCGCGCCCTTGCTGCTGGTGAGGGTAATGAAGTTGCGCTGCTGCTGCTGAAGATGCTCAAGATGCTGCTGTCGACGATGATGATGCTGATGCTTGTGCTGCTGCTGATGATGCTGATGCTGCTGCTGATGATGGTGATGTTGATGCTGTCGATGATGCTGTTGATGACCATAAGGACGATGAGGATGCTGCTGTGATGATGATGCCGATGAGGCTGATGGCGATGATGATGTCGATGACGATGGAGATGATGATGCTGATGATGATGATGGCGATGATGCTGCTGATGCTGATGCTGATGCTGATGCTGATGAGGATGATGATTATGGTGATGATGATGATGATGATGATGATGATGATGATGATGATGATGATGATTGTGACGAGGATGTTGGTGGTAATGATGGTACTGATTGTACTGGTGCTGCTGTTGATGCTGCTGCTGAATATGCTTCAGATGGTGACGGTGATGACATGCTGCACGACACTGATGATGATGCTGGTGCCGTTGATATTGATGATGATTGGGGCGACGATGCTCATGCTCATGATCAGGTACCTCTGTTTATGGGGAGGGTGATGGTACTTAGGCTTCTACGAGACATGCTGCTGATGATGGTGGTGGTGGTGTGGTGATGATGATGGTGCTGATGGCGATTATGCTGATGATGGTGATGATGATGCTGATGACGAGGATCATGAGCATGGTGATGCAGATTACGATTAAGCTGATGTTGATGCTGGTGATGATGCTGACATTGATGCTAATGCTTATGATGATGTTGATATTGATGGTTATGCTGCTAAGGATGCTGCTGCTGATGATGATGCTGATAATGACGACGATAAAAACTACGACGATCCCGATTATGTTGTTTTTGATGATAAGGATGGTGATGATGCTGTTGATACTGATGATGATGCTGATGGTGATGCTGAGGATGATGGCGATGTTGAATGGTGATGATGATGAGGATGATTCTGATGATCATGATGATGCTGATGCTGATAGTGCTGATGATGCTGATGCTGATGATGATGCTGATGATGATTGTGACGATGGTGCTGCTGATGATGATGCTGATGATGATGATGGTGATGGTGATGGTGATGATGATGATGCTGCTGATGGTGATGATGCTGCTGCTGGTGATGATGATGATGATGATGATGATGATGATGATGATGATGATGATGATGATGATGATGATGATGATGATGATGATGATGATGATGATGATGGGGACCACTGGCACCCCCTCTTCCGCGAAGGTTCACCTGCCCGTGGGGGCGGGCAGGGGCGGGTTGCCGTGGTTCGCCCTCCCTGGAGCGTGCCGCAACGGGGGGGGCGGGCGCAGCGCTCCAAAGTCTGTCCACCAGGGAGGGCCAGGGGGGTGCCAGGCAGGCGCAGTCGCGCCCGCCGCGCGCCAAAGGATCACGAGGAAGAGGAGGAGGAGCAGGAGGAGAAGGAGGAGGAGGAGGAGCAGGAGCAGGAGCAGGATCAGGAACAGGATAACTGAGGAGGACGAGGTACGTGTGCTCGCTCTCCCTCTGCGGCGACGCCGTCATGTCCTTCGCTCTGGGCGGACGCTCAAACTTCAAGCAGGGCCGCGCGCGTCCCGCCGTCGTCGTCGTCATCGCCGCCGTTGTCGTCGTCGCCATCGCCGTCGCCGCCGCCGCCGCCGCCGCCGCCGCCACCGCCGTAGTCGTCGTCGTAGGCGTCGTCGTCGTCGTCGTCGTCGTCGTCGTCGTCGTCATCGTTGTCGTCGCTCGTCGCTCGTCGCTCCTCGTTGTCGTCGCTGTCGTCGACGTCGTCGTCGTCGTTCTTTTGGGGCCTCTCTCCTGGGGGCCTCTTGGGTCCTCTTGGGGTCCTGGGGGCATCTTGGGATGGAAAGCTCGACTTGTCGGTTCGGGCTCCCGTTCTTGGGCCCCTCTTTGGACCGTCTTGGGGCTGTCTTGGGCCGTCTTGGGCGCCTGTTGGGCCGTCTTGGGGCCCTCTTGGGCCGTCTTGGGACCCACTTGGCGCCTTCTGGGCAGTCTTGGGGCGGTCTTGGGGGTCTTTCTGGGACGTCTTGGAGCGTCGGAAACCCGAAAAGGCGAACACCCAAAGGCCAACGGGAAACCACAGATGTCGGCCTCTCGGGCTATCTTGGAGCCACCTTGAGCGTCTTGGACCGATCGTGTAGCGATTCACCGTGCGGGCAGGCTTTTGGGGATCTCTTGGCCCGTCTTGGGTCCTTCTTGGCCCCGACAAAGTCATGCGCCACCGCTCGGGGAGCCCCAGGGAACCTCGCCAGCCCCCATGAGACTTGAGAGTTCGGGGTCCGGACCCCTTGAAGACCCCTCAGAAGTGTAGACTGAGGTTTAGGAGATCGAGCAAGGGGCCAGAGGACGTGCTCGAGGGCTCGGTGGCGGATTATTTAATCGCTTCGCTCATTCCGCCGGCCCATACAGTCTCATGTCTGCCGTTTGCCCGAGGGCCTGGTGTCAATGCGGCGCTTTGGTGGTTCCTGGGGCCGCTTGGGGGACTCCTGGGGCGCTCGGGGGGGCATTTGGGGGGCCTCCTGGGGCCGCTTGGGGGACTCTTGGGGGCCTCCTGAGGGCCTCGTGGGGGCCTCTTGGGGCCTCTTAGGGGCCTCTTGGGGCCTCGTAGGGGCTTCTTAGGGCCGAGGGCTCGAAATGTTGTTTCGTGTTCCCTCTCTGGGGCCCCTTTGGGGGCGTTCTTGGGGCCCTCTTGGACCGTCTTGGAGGCTTCTTGGGCCGTCTTCGAGCCCTCTTGGGCCATCTTGGGGCCCTCTTGGGGGCCTCTTGGGCCCTCTTGGGGCGATCTTGGGGGCCTCTTGGGCCGTCTTGGGGCGTCGGGAAGCCGAAAAGGTGGAAGCTCCAAAATCTTTCAAAAACCTAAGGAAAAGCAATGAATTTTGCCTCCGGGGGCCCTCTTGGGAGTGCTCTTGGAGGCCTCTTGGGGCGTCTGGGGGCTATCTTGGGCGTCTTGGAGCGATCTTGTGGCATGTCGGACCCCTCGTTTACCATCTTGGGGGCCTCTTGGGGGCCTCTTGGCCTTTCTTGGGGCTCTCGGGGACGTCTCGGAGCCCTGTTGGTGCGCTCCTGGAGCGCTCCTGGAGCACTCTGGGGGAGTCTCCCGGGGATCGGTCGGGGATCGCCCGGGGTACTTTTCGTCCGGGGACCCCCAGGGGCCGCCCCGCGCGCACGAACTAGAGAATTGTTAACCAGTTACCGGGGATCTTAGCACGCCACTGGCCCGTTGGGCCGGCGAATTTAATACCTTAGTCCAAAACGCTATAGCTGGAGGGACCCCCGAACTCAGGAATGGCGCTCTCGCTCGAGACTTAATCGCAATTCAGTCAAACGAGCGAAGGCTCAACGACGACGACAACGGCTCTCGCTGCATATTTCCTACCAACTTACTCTACCGATTGACTCAGGTACGCCCTGGCTAGAGAGGCCCCCGATGGCGCTCTCGCCAGAGACTTCTGGCAGTTCAGTCGACTTGGTGATCGCCAAACTGCGACAACAACGGCTCCCGCTTCTTGCTACCTCGTACTTTACTCCGAGACGCCCTGGCAAGAGAAGCCCCAAAACTTATACGAATGGCGCTCTCTCCCGAGACTTCCTGGCAATTCAGTCATCATGGCCAGGGCCCAATTACAAAGAGGCCACCGAACTCACGAATAATGGTCTCGTTCGAAAGCTCCCAGCAGTACAATCAAGTTGGTGAAGGCCCAACTACGACGACAACGGCTCACGTTTTACGTCTGGCGCTCTCGCCAGAGACTTACTCGCAGTTTAGTCAACTTGAGAGAGCCTGCTAGCTACGGCGGCTATGGCGTCCGCTCCATACTTCCTCACATCTTACCCTGCCCACCATGCAGGCCCCAAAATTCAGGAACGGCGCTCCCTAGCAAGACTTCCTGGCAATTCAGTCACGTTGGTGTGGTGAGTTGCCCGCGGACGCGTTAGGCCACAGGGTGGCATGGCGTCGCGTTGCGCACGCAGAGTGCACTGCGGAATGCTTCTCTCAGGAGCTTGCATGAAAGGACCCCTCCCCCAAGGGGGGATGGTCCACAGACTTAGCGTGTGGGCGCAAGGGAGGGGGACAATCAAATGAGGGCCGAAACAGCTTGTTATATCACTTGTTCGCAAGATGGTCGTCATGGTCGTCGTCGTCGTCGTCGTCGTCGTCGACGTCATCGTTGTCTTCGTCGTCGCCGTCGTCGTCGTCGTCGTTCGTCGTCGTCGTCGTCGTTCGTCGTCACCGTCGTCGGCCGACGCCGCCGCCGCGCTCTCCGCCCGTGGGCGCCACTCCGCGGCCAGCGGCGCCCCGAGGCCCCACGCCCTCGGCGCCCTCGGCGCCCTCGGCGCCCTCGGCGCCCGTGCGCGTACTGGCGCCGTCGCCGCCGCCGCCGTCGCCGTCGTCATTGCCGTCGTCGTCGTCGTCGTCGTCGTCGTCGTCGTCGTCGTCGTCGTCGTCGTCGTCGTTGTCGCTCCGCCTCCTCCTCCACCTCCTCCACCTCCTCCTACTCCTACTCGGCCTCCTCTTCCCACCCCCCCTCCTCCTCCTCCTCCTCCTCCTCCTCCTCCTCCTCCTCCTCCTCCTCCTCCTCCTCCTCCTCCTCCTCCTCATCGTTTTCCTTTTCCTCCTCATCCTACGTGCTCCTCCCAGCACGCGCTGATAATTTCGGATCGTCGTCGTCTCGTTGTTATTGCCGCCGTTGCCACTGCCACCGTCGCCGTGCGAAGGTCTTTGGAGCTTTGGAGATTTTCGGCGGCTTTCAGAGACTTTCCGAGGCTCTCGGAGATTCTCGGAGGTTCTCCCAGGAGTCGTCGTCGTCGTCGCCGTCGCCGTCGTCGTCGCCGTCGCCGTCGCCGCCGTCGCCGTCGCCGCCGTCGCCGTCGTCGTCGTCGTCGTCGTCGTCGTCGTCGTCCTCGTAGTCGTTGTCGTCGTCGTCGTCGTCGTCGTCGTCGTCGTCGTCGTCGTCGTCGTCGTCGTCGTCGTCGTCGTCGTAGGCGTCGTAGGCGTCGTCGTCGTCGCTCGTCGCCGTCGTCGTCGTTCGTCGTCGCCGTCGTCGCTCGCCGTCGTCGCTCGTCGTCGTCGTCGTCGTCGTCGTCGTCGTCGCCGTCGCCGCCGCCGTCGTCGTCGTCGTCGTCGTCGTCGTCGTCGTCGTCGTCGTCGTCGTCGTCGTTGTCGACGTCATCGTTGTCTTCGTCGTCTTCATCGTCGTTGTTGTCGTTTTCGCCGTCGCCGTCGCCGTCGCCGTCGTCCCAGGGGGGGTGGGTCACTCCACAAACGGGAATTACGACGTTGGAAGTCTAGAAGGCTCTCCGGGGACTTCGGGCGGGACTTGGAGGCCCTGACTCCTGGCCCCGAGGGTGCTCTCCAGCACCAGCGCCTCGTCGGGATCCCCCTGGGGGTGCCGACGTCTTGAGCAAAAGTCAGGACGGCCGGCTTCTCTGAGTTGGGGGGTACGGAGGGTTCTCTCGCAACCAGCGGGTGCAACCCACGGCGCGGGATCCATGCGAGCATTGGGGTCGAGAGCTTAGGGGCCCCCTGCTCTGACGGGGTCTGGGCGTCGGAGGTCTTGAATTGAAGCCGCTTCGACCGGCGTTTCTTCTGCCGCTTCCGGGGCTCTGATTCGGTTTCTATAATCTACGCCCGCGCCCGTGGGAGGCTATGTGTATGTATATCATTATTGTGTGTAACACGTATATGCCCCGTGGCCAGCGACGAGGTGGCGACGGGGCGGCGACGGCGATTACATCGCCGCCAGACCGACGCACAGGCCCAGACGATGGCAGGCGACGAGGCGGCGACGGGGCGGCGACGGCGACCACAAAGCCGCCAAAACGACGTACAGGGTCAGATCTTTTGAAACAAGTAAGAATCCCTCTATGTGCGTATCTATATATACAGAGAGATAACGAGATGTAGAGAGTGAGAGAGTGAGAGAGAGTTAGGACTGGCCTAGAGTTTGTTCACGTTATTTCGCGGAGCCGGGTTCGGTTTTCTAGGATGGCAGTTTGCGTGAAGCCCATCCCGCCACCGTGCGTGCCTGAGTCCTGGACAGCAGGCGGGCCTCGTGAAGGCCCTCTTGTGGGCCTCTTAGAGTCCTCTTGGGGCTCGTTTGGGGCGGTGGCCTCTTGGGCGCCTCTCGTGGCCTCGGTCTCTTGAGCGCCGGCTGGCAGTCTCGGTGGCCAGGGGCGGTTCACGTGTTCAGTGTGGCTTTGATTGTGGCATGCTTGAGTGCCCACATTCAAGCGAAGCTGCTGCTGGCCAGACATGCTGTGCACCGTTTGCACCGACCTTGATCTGGTGTTGGTCTTCTCCTTGTGGCTGTTCCTGTGTGGCTACTGTTCCGCTGGCAGCTGCGCTGTGCGCGACACGGTCACAGATCACAGGCCGCGTGGACGACGTGGTAGTCATTTTTCGGGTCAGCAGGCTCCCCGACCAGAGCCCCTGTGAGTCACATACTTAGGGGCACTTGAACACATCCTACTTATGCTCGTTGGAGATGAGCCCCAGAGCGGTCGCATTACATGTGAGCTCCCACTCCTGGCCTCAGCTGCAAAGCCAGCTCCCAGAATCGTTCCCTCCCTCTTGTTTCTACCCCTGCCCAGACAATCGGCAGCCTGAAACATCGAGACAGCGTTTTCTTCACATTTTGAAGCTCTGAATGCCAGTCCTGGGCCCTGGGTAAAGGGTCGAGAGCTCCAGGGGCTGGCGACTCGATGGAATCGGTCCGCTGGATGTTTGGTCCCTGGGTGCTCCTTCCCCCCTTCCCTCCTCAGGGGCAACGTTAGGGGGGGATAGGCTCATGGGGGATGCATCTACCCCCAATCGCACATTCATCGCCGATAGGGGCCTGATAGCCCTACGCCCAGGACGCACGTTCGGATTCGCTATCGGGGGCCTATCGCCGATCCGTTGAGGATTTATCGCCGATTGCAGGTCGATGCTTCCCCTCCCGGGACAGTTCCCCCGGGTCCCCTCCTACAGTGGGGGCCTATGCCAAGAAACACCCTGCTTGCTTTCAGGGTGCCCTGGGTTTCTTGTGCTTCGATGGTTTCGCGATGGAGGGCGCGACGATCCCACGCCAGGAATCAGTGGACGTCCTGGGGTCTCAGGGTTGGGTCGCCTGTGGAAGGTTTCTTGTGGATTGGCCTCCACTGCAACGCTCCCCTCTCCTCCTCTGGTGCCCCATCCGGCGACGAGGAGGCAGGCAGGCGGAGGGCCGGCCCGAGCCGTTGTCTCCAAGCCTGGCCAGGGCGGCCGTCGCAGACCCCAGAGCGGGTGCGGCAGGCTCCTGTCGTGTCGACGCAGTGGGGGCGCCATCGGGGGCATCGTGAGGGGGGGTGTTAGGCCTGCAGGGGGGCATCGTGCTGGGCCATCAGGGGGCATCGTGGGGGAGGAACAGGGGCCGATACGGCTACCCTTCCCTCGCTTTCGCCTTTTCGAGCCTCGCGGGAGGCCCTCGGCGCCACGGCCGGGTTCGCCTGGAAGTCCTGGTCAGAACGCGCCCCTGGAGAGGTCTGTGGAGAAGCGGTATGGGTACCTTTTTGCTTCCCCATCGGCGGGGGATGCATCCCATTGATCGACGATAGGGGCTCGATAGCCCCACCCCGCCCATGAACGTGCGGGTTCGCTATCGGGGGCCTCTCGCCGATCCATCGGCTATGTTTCGCTGTATCGCCGATTCCAGGTCGGTGTTTCCCCCCCTTAGCCGGTCCCCGCCTAATGTTTCCCCTCACGCCAGCGCGGGCGTCCAATATCGAAGGCTGGCGGCCTGAACCCAGCCAACATCGAGAGATTTTGGGGTGTCAGAAGGCTAGGGTCCTTCAGCGTTGAACGACTCGCACGGTGCCAGGCACCAGCGCACCCAGTCGTCCCGACACGACCCTGCTGGCGTGGACTCTCTGTCACCCGCGGAGCCGCGCACTCTCCGATGGCGGACTTCAATCAGGACATCGATGCCTCCGAGGTGTACCCGCCGCCCGCCGCCCTGCAGGCGCAGGCCCACGTGAGCTCCATGGAGCAGTACAACAAGATGTACCTCGAGGAGGGTCGAGAATCAGCGACTGAGGATCGGGGTTTGGGGCTTCTTTGTTTGAGGGGGTCTCCTGAGAATCTCAAAGACCTGCAAGTACAAAATACGGGCCGGTTGAGTAATTTGACCAGTGTTCGTTTGTAATTGTTTCTTTAATGTTCTTGATAATGGGCACCCTATTAAGTTCTAGCCCTCCATCCCTCATCCCTCCAGGCTGCAATGATATACCCCGCACACTCTGCCCGAGCCAGAGAGTTCGCCCGAGCTCGAGAGGCGCCCGTCATAGATGACCTCCTGGGACACTTTCTTTGCAGCCTGGCCGATTAAGAACAGGAGCCAAGAACGCCCGCCAGGCCAGTTTTAAGATTGGAGTCTTTTTTGTCAAATTCGGCGGCTTTCTATAATTTGAACTCCTTGGGCGACCCCAGAAGAATGGCCCCTTCAATGTAACATGTGTGGACGAATAGTGTGATATTCTTTTGCGTAACGGGGGACACCGTGGAATTGCCCGAGAAGGCCAGAGACACATTATCGAATTGATAGGGTTGAGAAGTCTGCAGTGCCCCATAGGTACAAGGCCAGCATCGAGGATCCCGAGAAGTTCTACGGCGATTTGGCACGGGATGCCTTCTACTGGGAGACGCCCTTCACCAAGGTTGGGCCCGATTTCAACTTTGACCGCACCAAAGGCGCTGTGAACATTAAGTGGTTCGACGGTGGCAGGACGAATTTGTGTTACAATTGCCTGGACAAGAACATCCAGGGCGGCTTCGGGGACAGACAGGCATTACTCCATGAGTGCAATGACACGGATGACGAGCACAAGAGTTTTTCTTACAAGGAGGTGATCGATCTCGTGTGCAAGATAGCCAACGGCCTCAGAGCCAGCGGAGTGCAGAAGGGCGATCGTGTTTCGATATATCCAGCTGCCTGCGGCAAACCTCGCCACCGTGCCTGTGCAACAGCGCAGCAAGAAGGAGGCTGAATTCAGGAACAACGCATTTCCGACAAGTAGTCTGTATTGTCTTCGTCCGCGCGGTAGGGAGGAGGAGGAGGAGGAGGAGGAGGAGGAGGAGGAGGAGGAGGAGGATGAGGCGGATGACCAGTACAAACCCAATATTCATCAACGATGTTGACATACACCCTCCCTCCACGCTGCCTCTTCACAGGCCACTAGAAGTGTTCCACTGAGGGAACTGCCTCGTTGGGGGGCAACCGTTTGAAGACCCTGAAGCATGCCACAACACCATTCTCGGGACTCCAACGCCACGAATCAGACCGACCGTTGCGTCTTGACAATCCGGAACCGTGCCAGAACACCGTTCATGGGACCTCAACACCGCGAATCAACGTAGCAGTTGCACCCCCACAATCAGGAATCCATCCAAAACATTATTTCTGGTCTGTTGACCAAAGGAGTCCGTGATACTCTTGCATTCCTGAAAACGAATGGGCGCGGCGCTAAGGCGAGAGCCACATATTGAAAACGAGCCTCCCTCAATCAGTGACACTGTTGCTGCATGTTGTGAAGACGAATGTGCGCAGCGCTAAAACGAGAACCACATGTTGAACAAGAAAAGCGAGTATGCGCGGCGCTAACGCGAGAGCCACATTTTGAAAGCGGCCCGCCCTCAGCCCGTGAAGCTGTTTCAATGGTTTACAGCGAATGTGCGCGGCGCGACGACGAACCGCTCTCAATCTGTGAAACATTGTTCGCATTTTTTATGACGAGTGTGCATGGCGATAAGGCGAGAGCCACATTTTGAAGCGGCCGGCCCTCAATCCGTGCAGTTCATTAAGTTTTTAATCTGCGCGGCGCGACGGCGAGAGCTACATGTTGGAAAGCGGCCCGCCCTCAATCCGTTGAGCTCTTGCAGTTTGCTTCATCGAATGTGCGCGGCGCTAAGGCGAGAGCCACATGGTGAAATCGAGCCACCCTCAATCAGTTAAGCTTTTGCGCATATTTAAGACGAGTGTGCGTGGCGATAAGGCGGGAATCACATTTTGCAATCGGCCCGCCCTCAACCAGTAAAACTCTTCCAGATGTAATACAAGCGGGTGTGCGCGGCGCCAAGGCGAGAACATATCTTTGAAGACGGCCTGCTTTCAATCCGTGGATCTCTTGCAATTCAGAAAACGAATGTGCGCGGTGTTAATGAAAACGAGCCGCCCTCAATCCGTGAAGCCCTTGCACATTTTACAGACGAGTGTGCGCGGCGCTAAGGCGAGAGCCTTAAATTCGAAAGCCACCCGCCCTCAACCCGTGAAGCAGGAGAAGGAGAAGGAGGAGAAGGAGGAGGAGGAGGAGGAGGAGGTGATGCAGAACATGAGGATGAGGAGGGAAAGACTTCTTGGGAGCCTCTTGGGGGGTCTCACGGGGTCTCTCGGGGGTCTCTTGGGGCCCCCTGGGCCGTCTTAGGGGGCTTTTGGCTTGTCTGTCGCCTATGGAGGCCGCCTTGGGGGCCTCTCTAGGGCGTGTTGGTGCTCACTTGGGGCGGTTCAGGGCCGTCTTAGGGCCCTCTTGGGAGACCCTGTGGTGATCTTCGGGCCTTTTGGGCTAACGTGGGGCTCCCTTGGTGCTCTTCGGCTGTTTTGAAGCTATCTTGGGGGCCTTTTGGAGGCTTCTTGGGCCGCCTTGGGTGGTCGGAAACCCACGCATGCGAGAATTTCAAAATCTTGCAGACACCTGTGGGTAATTAAGGGTGTTAGCTTCCTCGGGCTCCCCATGAGAGACTCCTGGAGCCCTCTTTGGCCGTCTTGGATGCCTCTTGGGCTGTCTGGAGGCTGTCTTCAGAGGCTCTTGAGTTGTCTTGGACCCTCAAGGCCTGTTCTGTTACCGTCGTGGCTGTCTTGGAAGCCGTTTTGGAGGCCATGAGGCTCCCAAGAAGGCCCCAATGCATACCAAGAGGCCCCAACACGACCCACTAGGTCTCCAAGAGGTCCTCCAGGAGAGCCCGAGGACGCCATTCTTATTGATTTGCCTTCGGTCTTTGAAGGATTTTGAGGTTGGGACACATTTGGGTTTCCGGCCGCCCCAGGCAGCTCAAAAGGCTTCTCTGAGCAGTCTTATCACGTTCTTTGAACGCTTCAAAGGCGTCTTGGGGGGGGGCCCTCCTGGGAGCCCCTTGGGCGATCTTTAGGTCCTCTTGAGCCGACGTGGGGCCGATTTGGGAGCCCCTGGGATGTCTTGGAGCTATCTGGGGGGCCTCTTGGAGGCTTCTTGGGCCGCCCTGGGCGGTCGGAAACCCGAATCTTGGATAATTTCGAAGCCCTTCAACAACATGAAGACAGTCATTGGTTTTGGCCTCCCTCGGACTGTCCAGGAAGACCTCTTGGAGCTGCTTGGGCCGTCTTGGAGGCTTCTTGGAGCCTTCTTGGGCCGTCTCGAGTGGTTCTCGGACAGTCTTGAGGTTGTCCTGAGATGCTCTTGAGCTATCTTGGGCCATCTTGAGCCGCTTTGGTGTCGTCTCGGCTGTCTTGGAAGCCCTCTTGGAGGCCAAGGCCGAACAACCGCCAGAGAGTAATTTCAGAGGGGGCGTCTTTTCAGGGGCGCGTGAGTCGAGGGGGGAGGGTCGGTCCTAGATTTCTTTATATATATATATATATATACATATATATATAGAGAGAAAACCCAGACAGCAAGCAAGCATTATAACACGTCCACTCCATGCAGTCACGGTGGCGGATCTGCCCATGATGGCCGAGCTGCCTGCGTCAATGCTGGCCTGTGCGCGGATCGGCGCTGTCCACTCTGTCGTCTTCGGCGGCTTCTCTGCTGACGCCCTCGCTGGCCGCATCTGCGACGCGCAGTCGGCGGTGGTAGTCACAGCAGACGGAGTGATGCGTGGGGCGAAGCCTGTGCAGCTCAAGGACATCACGGACAAGGCCTGCGAGATCGCGGCGAAGGACGGCTTCACAGTGACCAAGGTCGTGTGCGTGGACAGGTTGAAGGGCGGAACTGCGAAGGTTCGCGACCAGGGGAAGCATGGCTGGACAGAAGGGCGTGACGTGTGGCTCGCTGATTTTATCGGGTCTCAGTCTACCGAGTGTGCCTGCGAGTGGATGGAGAGCGAGGATCCGCTCTTCATGCTCTACACCTCTGGCAGCACTGGGAAGCCCAAGGGCGTCCTGCACACGACCGCTGGCTACATGGTGGGCGCGCACACAACTATGAAGTACACGTTCGACTACCACCCGGAGGACATCTGGTTCTGCACGGCCGACTGTGGGTGGATCACGGGCCACACGTACATTGCATACGGGCCCCTGCTGAATGGCGCCACGCAAGTGGTCTTCGAGGGCGTCCCAACCTATCCCGAGGTGGACCGCTTCTGGGATGTGTGCGAGAAGTACAAGGTGACCCTCTTCTACACGGCGCCCACCGCCATCCGGGCTCTCATGAAGTCCGGGGATGGCCCCGTGAAGAAGCATGACCTCTCTAGCCTCCGGCTCCTCGGCTCGGTGGGGGAGCCCATCAATCCGGGGGCCTGGAAGTGGTACTTCGACGTCGTCGGCGGAGGCCGCTGCCCGATCGCCGACACCTACTGGCAGACGGAGACCGGGAGTCATCTCATGACGCCCCTGGTCGGGGCCATGCAGTGCAAGCCGGGCTCGGCGTCGCTCCCGTTCTTCGGCGTGCAGCCGGCCATCCTGGACGACAAGGGCAACGAGCTGGAGGGCGAGTGCAGCGGGTGTCTGGTGCTTAAGCGGCCAAACCCCTCCATGATGCGGACGGTGTATGGCGACCACGCGCGCTTCGAGGAGGTCTATTTCTCGCAGCACAACGGGTACTACTTCACCGGCGACGGCTGCAAGAGGGACAAAGACGGCTTCTACTGGCTCACGGGGCGCATCGACGACGTCATCAACGTCTCTGGGCACCGTATCGGCACAGCAGAGGTCGAATCGGCCCTGGTGGCATACCCGAAGGTGGCCGAGGCAGCTGTCGTAGGCTTTCCGCATGACATCAAGGGTGAGGGTATATACTGCTACGTGACCCTGAAAGAGGGCGTAGAATACGTCGACGATCTCAAGGCGGAGCTCAAGAAGAAGGTCAGGGAGGTCATCGGCGCGTTCGCCATGCCAGACGAAATCCACTGGGCCCCGGGATTGCCCAAGACGCGGTCTGGCAAGATCATGCGCAGGATTTTGCGCAAGCTCGCGCTGCCAGACTACGAGAAGCAGGACTTGGGCGACACGTCCACCCTTGCCGACCCCAGCGTCGTCGACCTGCTCAAGAACAACCATCCGCGCAAGCCAGCCAGCCCTTAGTCGTCTCTGGAAGATTTCAGGGCGCTCTTCTTTTCCCGCCGACGGGCTGGGGGCCCTACAGTTTCAAGGCACGATGAATGATTTCGCCCCAATTCCGTCAAGCAGCCATCCTCGGACCCCTCCGTGGGTCCATCCTGACCGATAGTTCGAGTTGCGTCCAGTCATGGCCAGGGGGCCCCGCAGATTCGGCAAGTCCCCGACCCCTGAGGTCTTGCGTTGCGAACAAATGCGACACCGTAGGTAACCGCGACCGGAGCCCTTGACCCAATCCGGAACCTGGGGAATACGTCCAGCGTGAAAAATCGCGACGCCTGGATCTGAGGGATCTTCGAATTTCTCACCGCTGTTCCCGTGCCATCAAGCAGGCCTAGGATCGGGATATATCTAGATCGCTCCAGAGCGTTCCGGGACGCTCTGGAACGGCCCTGGCTCCCGATACATCCTCCCGAGCCGCCCCATTTCAGAGATCCCCGATTTATCCCGATCCGATTTTGTCCCATTCATGGCTTCGTTTTGCATCCTGGGTTCGCGGACTCTTGCTGTCAGGGAGGCGGGCGAGGGCGCAGAAGGGGATGGTGGTTGCCGCTCATGGCGCGAGGGCTGGCGAAAGGCCGCCGCGCGAAAGAGCGATGCAAGAAAGCGGGGCCGAGCGCGCGGAGATTTGGCACATCAGTTTTGCCTTCACCTGTTTCAAAGGACGCTTGAAAGAAGGAGCAGCTGCGTGCACATGCACTTGTTGAGGTCCGCGCGGATCTCCGGGATCGGCGCTGAACCCCCGTGACGGCGCCTCCAGCGCCGCCCCTGGCGGGCTCCGCGCGCCAGGGAGGGGGTCCAGCGCCGATCCATTGAATCAGTGCGGACCTTCGGAAGTTTGATGTGCACGCCGATGTTTCTTCCAGCCGGCGTTTCGGCGAGCCAGCGAGTCGCTGCCCACTCGCGGCGAAGGCCGCGTGCGGACCAGACGTCACGCGACAGCGACCACGACGAGCAGAGGAGAAGCGACAAAGAAGAAGCTCCTCTTGGCGGCGCCCACAAGAGGTTGTCGCGAGGGGGGCGGCCTTCTACGAAGGCGGAGTGGCTTCTTAGAAGGCAGGGGCCTTCTCAGAATGCCCCCGAGGCTTGTGAGAAGGCTTCTTAGAATCCGGGCGGGCCTCTAAGACGTCCCGTGGCCCTCTTAGAAGCCCCGCTGCCGCAGTAGAAGCACGCAACACAACACAACACAACACACCAAACCACACCACGCCACAACACACCACAGCTCAGCACCCCTCAACACAACACAACACAACGCAGCACAACACAACACAATACAACACAACACAACACACCAAAACACAGCATAACACAACACAACACAACACAGCACAGCAGAGCACAACACAGCACAACACAACACAACACAACACAACATAGCACAGCACAGCACACCTTACCACACCTTACCACACCACACCACACCACACCACAACACAACACAACACACCGCACCGCACCACAACACAACACAACACAACACAGCACAGCACAGCACAGCACACATCACAACAACACAGAACACACCATAATTAACACAACACAGCACAATACAATACAACACAGCACAGCACCACACAGCACAGCACAGCACAGCACAGCACAACACAACACGCATACACACCTTGCGCCACTCCCTTGTTGGCGCCGCCAGTCCTCAACCTTCAGGTTCAAGGTTGTCGACCTGGAGCGCCCCCGTCGCCGCGGCCGGATCCGCCTCGAAGCTCGGACCACAAACACGCCGCTGGTGAGATCGGGGAGTGGATTTTTCAGGGGTGGAGTGAAAAGGCGAGAAGGCTCCAAGCACTGAGTAAGATTTGGTTTTGCGACGAATTTGGCTTCTGGGGGGCGTTCTCGGGAGGTATCATCGCGGCCACTTCTTCGGACCTCTTGAGGCACGTTGGTGGCTATCTTGAGCCAACTTGAGCCATCCAGCGCTGTCTTGGAGGCCAGATAGCACCAGAATCGCCCAGGTCACTCGGAATTGGTGGGGGGAGCGCGCACACCCTGGGACCCCCCCCTCCCCCTCTGGCGGGGAAAGGGATAAGAGGGACTCGATTGCGACCTGGGTCGATTCATCTCGGGCTGGAGATCTTGGAGGACCCCAGGTGGCCGCAGGGATAGGGGCAGAGAGCTTCGAATGAACATGCGTCTCTGAGGACCACCCCTGGACAACCGCTCCAGGATTCACCCTCAAACGCGCCGAGCGGGTCTGCGATATTTTGTGAAGACGACAGAGGGTCTGGCTTCCCATGCGCTATTCTCCATCCTCCATCCGCCATCCCCTGGAAGTCTCGACCCCTGGAAGTCTCGACCTCTTTCCCATAGAGTGTTTTTCATCATGAGTTGTTCTTTTCACAGTCCCGGGTCCTGAAACTGGCCCACGGAGAGGCCGAAATAGATGAAAAACGCCAGGATCGAAGACAAGTTTCTCCAGCCCGATCGATCTGTGCGGGCCTCAGGGCCCGAAACGTGGCGACAACGCTTCATGTCGTGGTGGTGGACATGATTCGCTTTAGCAGAATCTCTTCTAGCAAAATGACCCCAGACCAGGCCTGGTGGGCGCAGGCCCGCAAGCATGGCCGCCGCAACACTGCTGAGAACCGAGGAAGGGAAATTCGCTATTCGACTTGGCAGGGTGGGGGTTCTATCAATCTCCGATCGTGTGAACAACCGCGACACCCGGATATCGGGGTCTCCCACCCTCCGTGCCGCATCCTCCGAGGTGCCGGCGCGGTCACTGCTGGTGCTGGCGGGGCCAGCGAGGCGCCGCCTTCGTTGTCGGTCGCCGTCGGTGGTCCGCGGTGGGTCGGTCGGTCGGTCCGTCGTCGTGGTGGTCGTCGTGGTCGTCCTTGTCGAGGGAGCTGGCGAGGGAGGAGGAGGAGGAGCACCCTTCAGCCCCAGTTATCCTACATCCGCCACATTACCATTGTGTCGCCGCAACTGTGCCGTCCCCTCCCTCCCTCCCTCCCTCCCTCCCTCCCTCCTTCCCCCCGTCTCTACTTCAGCTTAATCGCAGCCCCATGTCGTCGCTGTTCTGTCGTCTCTCTCCCTCTCCCCCCCAGAGGATGCGGATAACTTAGCTACTCGGCCCCCTGGGGGGTCCTGTGTGCTCCACGTGGTTCCTTTTTTATCTCGTCCCTGGGGTCCTGTGGTCTCGCAAACGGCCTCTGCTGGGGGCTGCGATCGCGATGAACTCGGGAGCCAGCAGCGTCCCAGGAGGAGGAGGAGGAGGAGGAGGAAGACAAGGAGGAGGAGGAGGAGGAGGAGGAGGAGAAGCAGGGTAAGACATAGGGTGATGCTTTCGAGGTTTCTGAGATCACTGGTGCCATGTCATCTGACGTTCTGTTGTTCTTTCCGAACATTCGTTTATCCTGTTGGAGGTTCCAAAATTGTCCGAAGGAGGGCAGTTTTTGGAAGTTGTCCGAAGGAGGGGCCGGAGGAGGTTGCTCAGGAGGGGGAGGAATATTATAAGGAGGACTCAGGGGAGGATCAGGATGATGAGCAGGAGGAGGAGGAGGAGTAGGAGGAGGAGGAGCAGGAGATGGAGGAGGTGGAGGAGGAGGAGGAGCAGTAGGAGCAGGATGCACATGAGGAGTGCAGGGTGAAGCAGATGATGATGATGATGATGATGATGATGATGATGATGATGATGATGATGATGATGATGATGATGATGATGATGATGATGATGATGATGATGATGATGATGATGATGATGATGATGATGATGATGATGATGATGATGATGATGATGATGATGTGATGATGATGATGATGATGATGATGATTATGATGATGATGAAGATGATGATGATGATGATGATGATGATGATGATGATGATGATGATGATGATGATGA